ATTATTTTTGTTGTGTTGCATTTGTTAGTAGTAACTCACACTCAAGGGGAGGCGATTACAGAAGAGCATGAATGCTAGGTAGACACCATCAGAAGCCACCTTAGAAAATGCCTTCCACAACAGATTTTTTGGCAATAGCCAGTATCAGTGGCCTGTTAGAGCACCAGAATGGCCTGCTGAAGGTAGGAGTAAAATGCTGATATGATGGCAATACCCTACTGGAGAGAGTGCCATCCTTCAGAACACAGAACCTTTTAAAGATCTCTTTATGAGACAATAGCCTCTCTAAGAAGAACACATAGGTGGAAACAGGAGTCCGTTTCACTTACCACTACTCCCAAAGACCCATTCTGGTAATTCTGGTCTCTGCAGTGTTAGAAGTCTTAGTCCTCAAAGGAAATACCCTCTTGCCAGGAGACAGAGCAAAGAGTCCCATTGAATCACAAGGTACAGCCCTGACCTGAACACTTTGAAACCCTCATGTCCAGACACTAGCAGACAAAAAGTGAAATCAGGAATAGTTGAACCTACCCTGCACAAGAGATACTTTTGCACAATGGGGCTGGGATGAGCACATGTGGAACTCACACTGTCTACATGGGCACCCCTTGGACATCTGTTACCTGACCATAACTGTGAACAGGTGCTGGGAGGATATGAACAACCCTTAGGAATGAGGGTTTGGGTTCAACCAGCAGGAGAGCCACCAACACCTTTTGAAATAAAGGTTGAGGACAAGGCAAATTTAGAATGGATAGTAGAGGAAAAGAGAGCCAGTTTTGACTCTAAGATTAACTGCAGAGATGGAACTAGAAATCCTGAATTCTGCTACAGGGGCCATGGAAGAGCTGCTCTTTGAGCTTGTGTGGAAAAGTGGATCTGCAAGATGCAAGGGGTGGACAGTGGTACCCATGGAAGTGTGTTTCCCAGATCTCCTTTCAAAGGGACCAGATGCAAGAAGTGTGGTACATCCTCCAACTACCGTACCTTCGGATATGCCCCCAGCTTTCATTCCGAGCCCACAGTCTTCCTTGTCTGGGACCAGCCAATGACTGAGATGGTTGGGTAGTAGAGCTGGGTCACTAGAGCTGGGTCATTCTGGCCCAACATAAGACTCCTGTGATGCACAAGTCTTAGCTCTGGGGCTCTCCACTGGCCTGGTAGAGATTTCCACAGAGTTGTGCTGCAGTCTGAGGTTCCTCCTACCCAATTCTCCCTCCTCTTCTCTCTATTCCCTTATTTTTTAATTTTGTTTGATTCATTTTTTTAGAGGGGGAATGGAGAGAGAAAGAGAGGGAAAGAAACATCAATATGTGATTGCTTCTCACATGCCCCCTGCTGGGGACCAGTCCTGCAACCCAACTATGTGTGTGCCCTGACTGGGAATCGAACCAGCAACCATTCGGTGCGCAGGCCCATGCTCAATCCCCTGAGACACGCCAGCCAGGGCTCCGTTCACTTGCTAGCCCTGCATTACAGTCTGAGGGCTCTTCCTGTTTACTCCCAGTCTCATGCTTCCTTAATAGACTTGCCCCTAGTAAATTTCAGGCATGTCTAATTCTTTCTTAGTGATGGCTTCTCAAAGAACCTGAACTGATGACATGAGAGCAAACTGAGTTTATTCCTTGCGGTTCAGGGTAAAATGCCAAAAGAAATTTCTTTAATCCAGACAGATTCTAATCCAAAATGTGAATATCCAAACTATACTTTCAGAGCCCAGATTTGTACACTGGCAAACACTGTAAATTCCCACTGCAATGGGCATCTAGACCCAGTGCCCCCACAGGTAACTCCTCAGAGGGGAGATGAGTCCCCCTCTGAAAGCAGTCGAGGTGGGAGTTGCCGACTGCTGCAAGTTTCCATAGGGCAGAGACTTGGTCAATGCCAAGATTCTGGAAATCTTGAATACTAAAGGAAAAACTGAAATTTCATTTAAGCTCCATGATTAGAAGGAGGAACTAATAAATAAGATGTTAGATGAGTCAGAGAGCTGTCCTCCTTTGCATGAGCTACAATCCACTCTGCAAGACAGCTGTCTGATTAAAGGGCTTAAGCCATTTATTTTAACAGGAGTGGTCAGCAGGCTTTCCAGAAATGAGGGTTACAAGTTAAGTAAAAGATGCCTTTGGAGATTCTTGGCTTGGTCTCTTATTTATCATCAGTCAGACCTTTCTGACTGGGGAAAAAAAACATTTGAAATATTTAGTGCTCCACCCCAGCCTCCACATTTTTTTTAAAAATTTAATAAAAGTGCTGGGGGTGTTCGGTTTTAGAGTCAATGGAGTAATATGTGAGACAGATCCCAGAGGAGGGGATAAGTGTGTGGGAAGTCAAACCCCACTTCTGTCTGTTATGATCGAAGCTTATGCAAATTAAACATCTCATATCAAAGCAGTTTACTAAATGCCCAAAGATCTTGCCTTGCGTTTTTTATATAATTAAATAATTTTTTAGTCCTGGCCAGGTAGCTCCATTGGTTAGAGCATCATCCTGTCACGCCAAGGTTGTAGGTGCGATCCTAGGGCAAGGTACATACACGAAGCAACAAATGAATGCCTAAATAAATGAAAGAACAAATCGATGTTTCTTTCTCTCTCCCTTCCTCTCCCTCTCTAAAATCAATAAATAAAAAATTTAAAAAATTTTTTAGAGTCTTTGTTCTGAGGAGCCAAGCAGTTGATCATCACAAAGGGTTGAACCCAAAGTTCTTTCAAATGGCAAGGCCTCCATTAAAGCTAAAGAATGTTCTGGCCTTATTAATTTTTTAAAGTGAGGAATAACAGAAAAGGACAAGAAGGAATATAGGCAAGTCCTTTTTTAAAAGTCCTTAAAGAACAGCTAATATTTACTGAGCACCTACTACATGCGGCTTTATAAGGATTATCCCATTTATTCCAAACAAGAACCTGATAAGATGGAATGCCATTATTATCCCCACTATCCAGATGAGAAAACCGAGACTTAGAAAGGCTAAGTAATATGTGCGGTGTCACACAGTCAGGTCTATACGATTTTAGGGCAAGAGCTGGCAGACACTTCTGTAAAGGGCCACATGTTAACATTTTTGCCTTTGTGAGCTGTACAGTCTGTGTCTCTGTTGTGACAACTGAGCTCTGCCATTTTATCATGAAAGCACAACACGATAATAACACATTCCAATAAGACTCTACTCACGGAAACAGGTCATCTGGATTTGGCATGCAGGCCTCACCTTTGTGAGTGTTGTTTCCTATTCTCAGATGAGACAGTGTTTTAAATTGTGAAGCACATAGGCTGCTTTTCAAAATAAACATACTTGGAATCCTGCAGAAAAAATTCCAACCAAGTTGGAATTATCTAAAATACAAGTTCATTCATTCAGCAAATACCGAGTACTTGGTAATACAGATACCTTATGGGGAAAGTGATATATAGTGAAAACAGATATCTTAGAAAAAGTTTACAGTGTTGGGGGGACACGTGTAAATAGACAGTTATTGATTTGATACACTGTGACATGTGCCATATGTTAGAGGCATCGATTAGGCTCTCAAGGGAATATAGTGGGAGGAAAACTAACTGGGCCTGGGAAATCGGCGGGGCTCTGACAGAGTGGGCCGACAATCCAGTGTCAACTCTGTGCTCTTGCCACTGGCCTTCATTCTCCAGGAGCGAAGGTTATTTGAATAACAGCAGCTGGAGCACAGCTGTGCAGTCTCCAGTCTCCCTTGGTTTCAAACTGAGGCTTCTTACAGTGTAAGTGTCTCCTGTATAGGCAATAAAACCTGGAGGCCTGTTCAAAGAAATCACCGGTTTAGTTTTAGAGATCTTATTTTCTAACTTTGCCTTCAATCTTAACCCTCTCCAGAAGCCACTGTGTTCACTCTCCATCTGCTCATCTGCTCCCGGAAAGGACAGCAAGTGGGTCACTGTGAATTGGACTCGCAGAGGGTCTGAGACCTGAGTGTCTATGAAATGTGTACTGAAACAGAGTTTTAGGGTCCTGATTCTGTAGATTGTGTTTTGGCAGACCTTGGTTCAGGGTCTGAGAATCCAACTGTTTAAAAGGCACAAGTGACTCTGATGTGCACCAACTATGTTTGGAAACTGCTGGTACAGAGGATTTCTGAAGTTGCTTTTAACCTTTCCAGCCAGCTATTCTGTGTTTATTGCCATGACTACATTTACAAACATCCTACAAACATTTACAAGAAGAAAGGGAAAATCTAACTGGTTTTAGGGTGTTTACTATGGTTTCTACCTTCCCATCATGACAATATAGGGACAACAGTTTGTGTGATAGGCTGCTGTGCAGGATCAACCTTGTTGTCCTCATTTGCTGGGATCAACCTTGTTGTCCTCATTTGCTGAAGAATGGCCAGGAGTTCCTCCTTATTAAGTAATAATAAAAATGTGAATCTTGGATGGATCGTGCCTGCATGCTTAATTCAGACATGCTTTCCATAGCAAAAGAGCAGCACCTGTGTATAAATCAAGTCCAGCAAAGCACAAGCAAGATTCTTCCTGCCTCCAGGTTCTGCACAGGCAGGAGCTGGCAGGCTTCTTAGCCCCTGTGTTAGTTTAAACTGATGCCCAGTAGGGTCAGTGAGTGCCAGCTGGCAAAAGTTACAAGCAGAAGGAAAAGGGTAAAGAAGAAAACCTACAAGAGAGGGACTATTAGAAAGCAACAAGAAAGAAAAGAAATGCTGAACATCAGAAAATCTCCTATTTCCTGACTGTGCTTTAAAAATTAGTACAGTTATTAGGTTCTGGGTTCTCTGGTACTCCAAAAACCCGGATTTTCAGATTCTATTCCTAATTGGGGCATCTGGGTAGAAACAAAGCCACAAGCCCAGCAGGAGGGTTTTCTACTTTAAAAAATTGGAAGCCATCTTGGAATATTAAATCAATGCATTTCTCATTTTAGAGGGTAGGGGACCATCTTGTTAGATTGTAGAAATATGAATTGTATCTTACAGGACAATCCTATAAAAGTAGCAAATGATCACACTAAGCCATAATTGTTCATACATAGAATTTATTTTTAGGAATTTTTTAAAAGATGTAATATAATTGGTAGGCATAAAATAGACAAGGGGAAGTTAAGAATAGTATAGGAAATGGAGAAGCCAAAGAACTTATACATACGACCCATGGACATGAACTAAGTTGTGAGGGGAATGTTGGAGGGTGAGAGGGTACAGGGTGGAAGTGGATAAAGGGGAGAAAAAAATTGGACAACTGTAATAGCATAATCAATAAAATGTACTCTAAAAAAGATGTAATATAGATATTAGAAGTTCCTAATTGAGTCCCAATTTTCCATTGTGCTCTAGTTCCTATTACTGATATGTAGGACAAAAATCATCCTGTATGCTTCTTGAATTTTTTGGTAACATTTGTTATCCTGGTCTGAGCATTGTAAAAGGTCATCTAACTTCAGTGAATAATCATGACTTCAGAGTCTTAGCATTAACTGGCCAGTGGTTTTAAATATCATAGCTATGACCCCAAAATTGTTACTGAGGCCCTTATGAATAGTAAAAATGAAAACAGGCGTGCTTTCAACAGATTTTAACACAGCAGGAACTTTCCCAAACAGTCAAGTCCTAATTTTCCATGCTTTGGAGCAGAGTGCACTTTTTCACTTTACTTTGTAATGTGTTTTTATTGTAACATTTAAATATGGATGTTTCTAGAGATTCAATGGCCTTCAAGTGAAAATAATGTTGCCGATCGTCTGGGAAGAAGAAGGTTTGAAGACGCTAGACAGCAAGCTCACTTATTCTTAAAGATGAGTTAAATATTCCCAGGGGAGGGAGTAAGGTCACAAAGGAAGCGAAAGGCAGATTCATCATGGCTGCCCCGAATCAGACACTTTGCACCATGTCTTTCCTCCAATCAGGCTCCCTCAAGGGAGCTTCCTGCTCGAGGTAAAAACAAATGCTTATTCTGACTAGGATCTTAAACAGATTATAAAGTAGTTGTTTTTTTAAGTACCAATTATTTTTATAGGCACTAAGTGGATGGGAATCAGCATTTTGTTTTATAGCACACGCTTGCGTGTGTGCGTGTGTGTGCGTGTGTGTGTGTGTGTGTGTGTGTGTGTGTTGTCTTCATATGGAAGACAAAAAAATCCTTAGTCCCCAAGTCTTTCTGGGGACAAGGACCATTTGATTATAGCAGTGAAGTAGTCAATATTTTAATTTTTCTCTTTCCCTTCCTCTGAAATTCTCTCAGTCTTCCCCCATGAAGGTAGATTCCCCTCAGTGTGATAGGCCTGACACAGTGACAGGAGGAGAAAGTCAGGGAAAAGGACAGGTCGGTGACTTGCTCTCTCCTGAGATCCCTACTGAGGGGAAGCAGGTTGGTTGGAGCTAATCTTATTCACCAATCGCTGGTGGGTCTTCCAAGATACAGCTCCTGGAGAAGAAACGATTCAGCCTTCAGGAGTAGAGGGGTTAAATAGTTTGCAAAAATTAACACATCTTGGTAATTCCAGACTGTCTCCAAATTTTATTTGTCCATCCGTCAGTTAAGAATATATTTCAAGGAATCTTTCTGCATACTGGTAACATACTCGATTCTATTACTACTACTTGCACACAGCCACCAGATTGTTTGAGGTTCATTTATGTACACACATGCACACACACCATGTATTTCGTATAGTTTTGTACCCTCTGCCTCCCTAAAGGGAAGGTACTGAGAACAGCTGTTCAACCATTGCCTTAAAAGCTGGAGGGAACTTTGAAAACTTTGTCTGAACGATTTCCTTTATAGATATGGAAAAAGCAGCCTAGAGAGGTTCAGTGATTTTTCCCAAGTGCACAGCTTGTGCCCAGCAAGTCAAATATTAAAACCCACACCTGGTACGTGTGTGTGCATGTGTGTTTCTCACCACATCTAGAGAAAAATGTCCTGAGAGACATTCTGAAACTCATTAAAAAATTAACCTAATGAAGGTTGAAATTGAGGGTGTCTTAATTAGTAATTAAATTTATTAAACCAAACTTTGCTGTGGAACCTCAGGGCATCATCACATTAAAATATTTAAGTCATATTAAAGCTTCAGTTTAATTACTAAGTAAGCATGCCGGCCCGGAAAGATGGGTTTGGGACCAACCCGACTGTCAGTAAACAGGAGCAAATGCTTACCAGCTCCATAGCATTAGGCTGCCCTCCTAGCAGAATTCCTGTTGCTGCTTAGGTTTATCACAGGCCTCTGAGGGAGTGGGTAAATGCAAAAATGTGACTGTCAGGAAAAATGCTAACTTCTGATGTGTAGAAAAATAAGATGGCAATAATATTGGTCAATTCACATTTGTAAGGAATCAAGTTGACTAAAAACTTGTTATTAATCCAGCTAACACTCATATGAGTGGTGGACAAGACTGTCCTACTTTCCAGCTTATTTGATTGTTTTGGCCAGGTTTGCTCTTTCTCATGATTTCCCTTTGTCTGTTAACACAGTGGTTGTCAAAGAGCAGCTGTGAAGGTCCTCCCAGATGGTTAATCTCCAGCAGTCTCAGTATTTCTGCGTAGATTAGTGAGCAGCTGCTTAGGGTATGAAGCAATGCTTTACTTGTCATGCAATTTCATGCCCCTTTTTGCCTGTGCTGCACCCTCTGCCTGCCCCTCTTCTCTGACTGATGAGCTTCTACATTATACTTCAAAGACTAAGTTTCAATGTCATCTGTCTAGGAGGTTTTTCCTGATCCCAGAGTGGTGGCACTACCTAATCCTTCCTTCCACTATGGACCATTTCATTTAGCACATAACCTCTATTACAGAACCTTTTAGAGCATATCAAATCACGTTTACCTTTCTGTCTTTCAAAGGAGAATGGAGGCCACCAATACAGTGACTGTTCTATGCTGCTCTGTGGCCACAGGAACAACCTGCGTGGGCCTTTCGTCCGTGTTGTCAAATGCATGGCGTTCTTTCATTGTTTTATGACTCACTAAGTGTGTTCTTAGAATCTCTTCTCTGGTCTAAATTTTCATCTTAATTCTTGGGCCTCACCCCCACCCCCATTCATTCTCACCTCAGTGGCCTGAGGACCTTCTTAAGGGTGGGGTTGACTTGGACTTTCCATCTGTAGCCTTTCCCTCAAGGCCCTTCTGTCTATTCCGTCTCATGTGAATTTGGCAAGACTTGTTCTTTTGGGCCAAGGTTTCCCTAACCTGATTCTAACTTTGTTTCTATCACCCTGATACTACTTTCCACTATTGACCTTGACCACATCCAGCTACTACACATCATTCTCCACAGTTCCTTTACACTTTCACAGTTCGTGGCCTTTGCTCAGATTAGGCCCTCATTCACTTATTCGTTCAATAAATAATTATTGAGCACTTACTATATATCAGGCACTGTTCTTTATTTTGTTATACCAGGACTACATTTTTCTTCCTTTAGATGTTCTATTCATGTCCTGATCTCCTTCAGTTAGACTTTATTCTTCCTTCTCTTTCTACCTTTTAGTACTTTATTTTTCAATTACATTTTTTATGATGATTAGTTTTTTTGGTCTGGCTTTCTTCTCCAGCAGATAGAGAGCTCTTTAAGAACTGAAGAGGGTCTACAATGTTTTATCTCCCCTCTAGTGTAGAATAGCCTTACAGGTAACCTTCCCACAGTAAAAGTCCCTTGACTTGAAAAGTGAGTACCACGACAGAACCTGTAGAAGAAGTGGAAAGTCGGAGGCTTCCAGGGCTCTCCCTTGTACACCCTTATTAATCTCTCCCACAAGCCGCATAAGCTACCCACAGTGAGCATGGTAGACTCACAAAATTCACCATTCGGTACAAAAGCTTAATGCCACTGAACTGTGTACAGTTGACCATTGAACAACATGGGTTCAAACTGCACGGGTCCACTTATAGCAGTGTTTTTCAATAAATACTATGAATGTGTTTTCTCTTATGATTTTCTCCATAACATTTTCTTATCTCTAGCTTACTTTATTGTAAGTCTACAGTATATATACATATAACATACAAAATGTGTGTCAATCACCCGTTTATGTTATCAGTAAGGCATCCCATCAACAGCATGCTATTAGTAGTTAAGTTCTGGGGGTCAGCACCTTTAATCTTCATGTTGTTCAGGGGTCAACCATACTTACAATGGTTACAGTGATAAATATTGTGATATGTATTCATATTTTAATATAAACTATGTTTCTAAAATATTTAACGTGGAAATATTTTGCCCTGGAGTTAGGGAAATACAAAATAAAAGACAACAAACAACTTGGAGATACCAGCAGGAAGGAGAGAGAGAATGCCTAACGTTTATCCTGGTTCTTTTTTGCAAACTCGAACCTAATTCTCTACTTATTTCTTGACCCTCTCCTCTTCTGTAACCGAGAGCTTGGGCAGATTTGCCACATTACCTCACAGAAAAAGTAATGGTGGGACAAACAGAGAAGACCAATGTCCTCCAGTCTATTCTCGTGTGCCACATTCTCCATCAGCCCTGAATTTTTAGGCATCACTTCCCAACTTTGAATAATGACTTTCAATGACAGAAACATTTAAGTTATTTCAAGGGTTAATTATATCTCCACAAGTGGTAATTGTGCTATCTTATAATTATTAGAAATAGAAATAGCTATAATACTGCTCTTTGAGAGCAGTATTTTCACAAAAATAGTGAAAAGCCCTGGCTGGTGTAGCTCAGTGGATTGAGCACGGGCCTGCGAACCAGACAATCGCGGTTCGATTCCCAGTCAGGGCACATGCCTGGGTTGCAGACCAGTTCCCTGCAGGCCAATTCCCAGCAGGGGACGCATGAAAGGCAACCATACATTGATGTTTCTCTCCCTCTCTCCTTCCCTTCCCCTCTAAAGATAAATAAATAAAATCTTTAAAAAAAATAGTGAAAAAATGGCATCTTAAAGTACCTGGTATACACATGTACTGTAATAGCACACAGGCACATGTATCCGCAAAACTGCACTTATGAAATATTCATATAAATATGCATGCCTACCCATTTAAAACTCATTTTCTAAAACAAGGATCTGTAATTTTCTAAAATTACCCTAAATCCTCATGTTTGCCGAGCGTGCTAGGGAAGGAACTGGGGCCCTTTGCTATCACATCTCACTGGGCGAGCACAGAGCGGGAGGTGTGCTAGAGGCTGCTCTTTCTGGAAACAACCCAGCGCTTAAAGCCAACCCTGAGCTCAGCAGCATCGGTGAGACGTGTTACAGGACTTCATGGCAGCGCATCACAGAAACTTGGGAACGCTTCAAGGCATTCGTCACTCTGGTGGTAGGAGATAAGCTGGAGGAATTTAGAGAATTGCAATCATACATAATAGTGTTATCACTAGAAACTAGAATTTGAATTATGTGCATACAGGGTTCTCCTTTTCAAAGAGTTCCTCTTTCAGGTACTGCTTACGAGCACTCCAGGGAAAGGGGGTTCTGGATCAAATCAACTGGGGACCAGTTGGACTAATGCTATCCAGTATAAACGGTGAGATGGGAAGCAGCTAAGGGGGGTAAAAATCAATTCTGAGCAGTGAGTCAGCTTGGAAGCACTGCTGGAAATTCATTTCCCTTGGGGATGTGTGGCCCAGGACTCCCATGTTAATGGACATGCAGCTCCTGAGGTGCCTGCATGGGATATTCTCTGGTCCATAGGTTTGTGCTCCTCAGCATCCACAACAGTGTGGTGCATGTGTGGGAGGGGAGCAGTGCAGAGGGCCGTGGGGGGAACTGTGGTTCCGACCAGATCTTTTTAATTGCCAAGACGATCTAAATCCCGGGAATAGCTCTTTTACCAAGAGACGAAAGCAGCACAGTCTACAAATCCTCTCAATATTCCCCAAAATTGGAGGATAATGAAAATCACCATGGAACTCTTTAAAACACATATTTCTAGGCCCTACTGCCCAAAGGGTCTGATTCGGAACATCCCAGCTGGAGCCCATACCTGTTAAGAGGTTGCATTGGAAGATAAATAATGTATTTTACATGGCTGCCAAATATTTAAAAGAACCAGAATTAACAATCTCAGGGAAAGAATTTTCAACTCTCTACATATATAGAATTTCTTTTAGCCATTCTAGGAAAAGTAATGAAAAGGTGGCAAATTATTATTCTACTTAGTTTTCACTGGGTGAGTCCAGAAGAAAACTTACCCACATTCATGTCACTCTGCCTATATGTCAACTCAGACAACCTTGCTCTTTGCTCTACCTTTATTTGGTAGAAAATGGTGTGCAGATTTAATAAATAAATAAGATGCTTTTGAAAATAAATATCTTCAGAATGTAACTATGAACTTAGAAAATCAGTGGACACTGTGAAATAACAACATAAAGTCCTAATTCCATTTCCAAACAGCTTTATCACATAAAGAAATGCCCTGGGGAGGGGATTATGCTGGTTTCTAGTGATGCAAAAAGGCACGAGATATGGCCTTGTCTGTGTTACTGATAATCTTCCTTAGAAAACAGACCTGAAACTTGAAAAAATGAATAATAAATCATGGAAATTTTGTCCAACCCATTTCTTCACAGATCACCTTGATTCTGGCAAAAATCATCTTGATGGAAAAAACATCAAACCACTGCTAAAAACATAGTTCAGAAAGTTTAAGTGAAGTCTTAAAAAGAAAATTAAAAGTAAGAGGGAACTAATTTATTTCATTCTGAAGTGTTTAGAGAGCTTTACTTACAATAATTTAAGCAGAACATCAGGATTTAAAAACATTTAAACCAAAATAACTACTACTTCCTGACAAACTTTAATGTATCAAAGACTTGGAATGCATTATTTTGCATCCTCACTTCAGTCTCCAATGCAGAGATTATTGTTACTATTCTACAAATGAAAATAAACAGGGGCTTGAATAGGTCAGGTTACATAGTACAGCAGAGTATCATACTCTTCACCCTTATTCCCCTCTCTCTGTGTCAGTCCAGTTGTGTTCACATGACCTGCTTCAGCCAATAAAATATGAGCAGAAATCACGTGTGTCTCTCCTTGGTGAAGCTTTAGGATCAGGGCATGGTTCACTCTGCTTTCACTTTCTGCCATAAAACCAGCAATGTTCCAGGTGGAGGCCACCTGGTCCTGAAGTGAATGAAGACTGTGTGGAGTAGAGCCATAGCCAGTCCACAATGGACATGTAGCATGAAGTAGAACCAAAACTGGGATGTGGTAAGCCCGGTTTTGGGATTGTTTGTTTCTGCAGCAAAAACTAC